TTCCCTATGATTCTACAAATTCAACATAGGATCTAGACCAAGACTTACTGGTCAGCTCTCATGGAAAGCTGCCAACTTAGAAAATCATCATAGAAAGCCAAATGATAGTGGTTTTGTTTTACTGAGAATTGAAAGAATAGTGGAACTTGACTCAGACAATAGGATCCTCCAGATGCAAGGTGAGCCCTCTTGCATTTGGAGATATTGCAAATAAGAGGGTTTTGCTAAATAACAGAATTCATATTGCTGTCTTTTATAATCTTTTATACTTTTTACAATATTATCAATATTAATATCAACATTAGGTCACCAGGCATAGCTCTTAACCAATTATTTCATGTGAATTATATCTAGCTATATTGCATTTAACATAGCCAAGCAAACTTTCAGTAAAAATTGATTCTTGTAAAAGACAGACTTTTAAATATGCTCAAGTTACTTACCATTAAAAAATAAAAATAAAAACTTTGTCCTCAAAACCAAAGAACCATTCAGCTACAGCCCTACATTCTCAGACTGTTCTCAGGCAAACCACTCAAAGGAGTTATCTATACTCACTCCATTTACTTACCCCCGACTCATTCCTCCAAATCAATGCAGTCTGGCTCCTACCCAATCACTCTGCTGAGACAGCTTTCATTCAGACCACTAGTAATCTCTTTATGATGCTATATTAGTTTTATATTGCTACGTAATAAATTACCACAAACTTACTGGCTTAAAACAGTTTACCTCACAGTTTCTTTGGGTCAAGAATCCAGGTAGGGCTTGTCTAGGTTCTCTACCTCAGGGTCTCACCAGGCTGAAGTTTCATCATGAACTCAACTGGGGAAGAACCTACTTCCAAGCTTATTTAGGCTTGAATTCACTTTCTTGTGAATTCACTTTCTTGTGGTTTTATGACCAAGAGCCCTGCTTTTTGCTGACTTCCAGCTGAGGGCCACCTTTAGGGTCTAGAGATCTCCTGCAGTTCCTTGATATATATACATTCTCAGTATGGCTGCTTACTTCATTATTTATACTAAAAAACTTATAAATAAATAAAAGTTGAACTAAAAAATATTCAAGTAACCCACAGGAAGGCAAGAGAAAAAAAATAGAGGAATTAGAAACCAAGGGAACAAACAGAAAACAAATAATAAAATGGAGACATAAGCCTTAATGGATCAATAATTACATTAAGTGTAAATGGTGTAAATACCTCAATTAAAAGAGAAAGCCTGTCAGATTGGTTAAAAAAAAAAAAGAAAAAGAAAATGTTGCTATACAAAATGCCTTTTAAATGTAAAAATATGAAAAGGTTATATATAAAAGGATAGAAAAAGTATTTAAATGAAAGCTTGAGTGACTATATTTATATCAGAAAAAAGTAAGTCCAGAATAAAACATAATAAAGAAGATAATTTCATAATGATAAAGGGGTCAGTTCATCAAGAGGAAATAATAGTCCTAAACAATCCTAAATGTTTATGACTTCAATTTATTTTTTACAAATTTATGTTTTCTTAAACTTTGTTTCAATAGCTTTGCTATGTTGTCTTTTTTTAAATTTTTACTCAGTCCAATTTAGTTTTCAATAGCTAAGTAATTCTTGGTAGCATAGTTGTGATTGTGGCCTGTTTAAAAGAAAAAAAAACCACAATTGTTTTCATATAGAAAAATATCTATGAAGGTATAATTTTTCCTCAAAATTTCCCTGAGTCCGTACTGTGTGAACTAAAATTCCACAGAGTCTTTCTGTTCAGTTTCTGAATAATAAGAAGAATTAATTGAAGAGTTTTTCTTTCTTTATTTTACCATCATAAAATTTAAATTCCTAATAACATAATTCTATCCTTATAGCATTGATATTTTACTTTTCCGTAATATAAACAATCTGTTTTATATTATCAGGAGATAACATTTAAAATTATTTTGCTTTCAAATAACTGAATGCTACCTTTCCAAATGTCAAAATATTCTTGTATTAACCAGTTTGGTGAAAATCATGATAATTAGTTAGATTCCTGCCTTCATATTAGAAGTTACTGAACATGATTTAACCTTTCCCTAATGATTCAAGGACAGTTTTATAAACCCATTACTGTCTAGAATTCCATCTGGGCATCCCTCCAAATCAAGTTGTCATCTTTCACTTCTGCTGTGATTGTTCTTGCTTTTTAGTTTTCTTTTGGCATTCTGTTTCCCATTTTAGTTTTCTCCTTCAGAGAGCTGATGCACCATC